TAGGATGCAAAGAGGAACATCTGGGGCTTCATTGTGTCTTGGGATCAGGAATGTGAAGGCGAGAAGGGCTGGGTCTACCTTTTAGTTCCTCCACCTCAGCCGGCTCCTTGTCTCTCTGACTTTGGATTATAATCATAGTGACACCGTCACTGCTACAGAGGGGACAGGCCCAATAATGCCACTTCCCGGGGGTTCACTGTGAGGCCCCCTCTCCTAGGAGCGCAGACCCAGAACTGACAGGAAATGTAAGCTCTGAGCCACGATTCTCTCCTTTTACACCTGGAGCCACTGAGGTCCAACTCAGCACCTCCACAGGTGCCTGAACCCCCACATGACTCAGTCCCTGTTCCCCACGGAGACACCACCACCTCCCCACACAGTCCCTCACTTACCCGTCTGTTGGCCCAATGCTGTGGTGGGTAGGGGAGGATCCTCAGAGCCTCCTGGGGATCAGAATGAAGTGTGAGGGTTTGGTGCTGCTATTTCCCCACTTGAGCCCGGCTTCTCCTCCTCAGCTTGAGCCCCAACGTCTCCCTCTGCCATGACCACCCCTCCTGTCCTCGCCCTCACTTACCCCTCTGCAGGCCTGACCCTATGGCTGGGAAGGAGGGAGTCCTTGAACCCCTGGCCCTGGTGGTTCCGTAAAATCCCTCCCTGAGTCCCAGCTCTCCTAGGACTCAGCCTGTTTGTCCTTGAGATCTGAGGTCTCTTCTGACTCCTGGGACTCTCTGCCTGGTCTGAACTCAGAGTTGGGCCTCTAAGGTCCCTCAGAGCAAAAACCCCCAGTAACTCATGAGCTGTGGACAGGGGCACTGTGGGTAGGGGGCGGGGTTCATAGAGGGTCCAGCATGAGGACAGAAGGAGGGGAAGACCTGGGTGGACTCTGGGCCCCCCAAAACTCAGGCTTTTCTCCTACATCTGTGCTGTGGCCCAGTCAAGGCCAAACTGCTGCTCACCTGGCACCTTCTAGACCCAGGTAAAGGGCAGGGATGTGCAAAGGTAGCAGGGTGTCTGTGGGGCAGATGTCCTCTGGGTGACCATCCCTAGAGGCTCTCCCTCCCTTTTAGCCCATAATTCCTCTGGGGACAGGACCTTGAGCTGACAGCTCAGCAGACTGGCTCAGAGGTTCCTCAACAGAGACCAGGAGCACCAGGGGCTCACTGGGGAGTGACAGCAGGAAGGGGGAGGTGCTGTGTGAGCTGTAGCACCTGTAGGTGCCCCCGTGGGCTGAGGGGAGGGAGGTGCTGCCTGTGTCCACCCTTTCAGGAGATGACCCTCCTCTGTGGAACCACCCAGTGCTCCCACTACTTCAATCACAGATCAGACTTTGCTGGGGACAGAGACAGAGATGACCTTGGAGCTCAGAGAGGATAAGACAGGCTGCTCACCTGAGACTAGGAGATTTAGGGGCTCACTGGGGAGTGACAGCAGGAAGGGGGAGGTGCTGCGTGAGCTGTAGCACCTGTAGGTGCCCCCGAGGGCTGAGGTCACAGGACTCATGGAGAACTCTGCCTGGAACTGCTGAGCTTGGTGCTTTGATCTCAGACGCAGGGGGGCATCCGCTGCCCCCTCCTTCGACAGAAGAAAAGTGTCCCTCGGGCTCTGTGACTGACACAGCAGGGTCACCTTTCCTTCAGATGCCACCCTGAGGCCTATGTGCACCACCACTGATAGAGATGGTCTGTCAGGCAGGTGTCCTAGAGAGAGGGAGGGATTAGGGCTGCCTGCCCACCCTGTTCTCCCCTGAGAGTCACCAGGCCTCTCTCTGAGGACCCGTCTCTCCGTCTGTCTCTGTTTCTCTGAGTCTCCCCTCTCTCCACCCAACTCCTGCCTCCCTGTCTCTCTTCCTCCCTGGGGCCTGCACTTTCATTCTGGCCTCACCACCTGAGACCCCCAGCAGTACCTGTGCAGAGTCTGGGTCCCTGACTGAACCCACTGGCTCCTCACCTGCCACCAGGATGTCTAGGGGGTCGCTGGGGGCCGACCACTCAGAGGAGAGGTTGTATCCACCGTAGCATCTGTACCGGCCTCCATGCGAGCTGCTCACAGTGTCCAGGGGGAAGTGGGCCTGAGAGAGCCCAGCCTGGGGCTGCAGGACAAGGCTCTCGGGGAGGTCCTGTCCCTCCTCCTTGTGCAGAGCGAATCTGTCATAGCCGACATCTGAGCGACACTGGAGGGTCAGGTTCTGTCCAGAAGCCACGATGGGGCCCTGCTGGGTCAGGAGGGAGGGCTTCCCAGACTCACCTGAGGAGACCAGACGTGAATTACAGGGGTTACTCCTCCCATAAACCCTTTCTACTGGCCTGGCCCCCTGGTCTCATTGTCTCTCTCTGTATCTCTGATCCATGGACCCCTGTACTCCCTCACCCCATCCTCTCTCATAGGGCTCCCTTCACAGCAAAGATGCCAATAATGTGTCTGGTGCCTCAATCCATGATGAGACAATAATGGGACTCACCTGAGACCAGGAGCTCTAGGAGGTCACTGGGGTGTGACCACACATGGGGCCTGTCCCTGTAATAGCCATAGCATCTGAACATCCACCTGTGGCTGTGGGTTACAGGGCACACAGGGAAAAGGGTCAGGAACTGCCCACTGGGCTGTGGCTGTGAGTCCAGAGTCCAGGAGAGCCTGTGATCTCCTTCCTTAGTCAGAAGGAACCTGTTAAATCCCTGCCCTGAGCCACACTGGAGGTTCACCTTCCCTCCTGAGGTCACAACACGGCTGGGCAGGGCTGAGAGGCTGGGTTTGCTGTAGACTCCTAGGAGAGGAGGAGGCAGCGTGTTAAATGGGGCTCACACCCCCCTCATGTCCCTAGGGTGGGCTGTGAGAGGGAGACACCCTGAGAGCAGACCCCCTTCCTGAGGACAGAGCCTGAGGCTGGGACCCCTGAGTGTCCTCTCACCTGTCACCACCAGCTCCAGGGGGTCACTGTGCCCTGACCAGCCTGTGAATCTGATATAGTAACAGTAGTATCTCCCTGCATCATTCTCTGTCATGCGTGTGATGGAGAGCTTGACCTTGTCTCTGGGATTCCACTTAGTCTGTGTTTTCCAAAGCACACGTTTTTGTTGTCTATACATACAGAACTCCTGGGCTTCCAGGGTCCCCTGACACCAGAGGGTCACAGGGCTCCCATAAGGGACCACAGGGCCTGGCTCAGCCCACATGGTGGCTTTGGAGAGGGTCCCTGGAGGGAAAGCAGAGGGTACATTACATAGACATCTCAAAATCCCCATCTCCCAGCTCATCCAGGACCTCTGTGCTCCCACCTGAGCTCCAGGGGTGAAGTGACAGGTGGGACATGAAGGCTGGGGAGGACTCACCTGCCTGCACGTGGATGATCTGGCCCAGACTCAGCCCTGGAAGAGAGTGTCGGTGAGAGGTTTGTACCCGGATGTCTGAGCTGATTCCCTTCCCATCAGGCCCTATCCACTCACCACATGGTGGCTTTGGAGAGGGTCCCTGGAGGGAAACCAGAGGGTACATTACACAGACATTCTAAACTCCCCATCTCCCAGCTCAGCCCAAGACCCTCTTGGCCACTCAAGCTGCCTGAGCCTGAGGTTCCCCATGAACAATAGAATGCATCTGCCCCTCCTTCTCCCCCTTCCCATGTCCACTACTGACCGAGGCAGACTACAGCAAAGAGGATGGACATCATGGTGTCTGCTCTGAGGCTTTTGCTCTGCAGTAGGAGGAGGTCACCTCATCCCAGGACCTCTGTGCTCCCACCTGAGCCCCAGGGGTGAAGTGACAGGTGGGACATGAAGCCTGGGGAGGACTCACCTGCCTGCATGTGGATGATCTGGTCCAGACTCAGCCCTGGAAGAGAATGTCTGTGAGAGGTTTGTACCCGGACGTCTGAGCTGATTCCCTTCCCATCAGGGCCCTGTCCACTTGAGCTGCCTGAGGCTAAGGTTTCCCATGAACAAGAGGATGCAGCTGCCCCTCCTGCTTGGCCTGAAGGACAGAGATGCACAGGATGTGGTGGGTCAAAATCTGCTGCTGTCCTTCCGGGACCTCAGAGCTGTGAACCCACAGCAAGCAGACCGCCCTCCCTCCCCCCAGGCCTGGGTCAGAGTTTTTCCATGATGAGGCGTCTAGAGACTCTCAGCCCAGATCTGTGGTCTCTTCTGACTCACAGGGACAACTGACCGAGGCAGAGAAGAACAGAGAGGATGGACACCATGGTGTCTGCTCTGAGGCTCCTGCTCTACAGATGGAGGAGGCCTGGGCCTGAATGACAGAGATGCACAGGATGTGGTGGGTCAGGAGTTGCTGCCATCCTTCCGGGCCCTCAGAGCTGTGAACCCACAGCAAGCAGACCTCCCTACCTCCCCACGGGCCTAGGTCATAATTTTTCCATGATGAGGCCTCTGGAGACTCTCAACCCCAGATCTGGGGTCTCTTCTGACTCCCAGGACCCTCTGCCTGGTCTGACCTCCTTCTCAGAGAGGACAGGACCCAGGTTCTCATCCTGAGTCCACCCTCAACAGGCTGGCTCTACCTGCAGCTCATTACCTGTGTCTTCAGCCCCCCCAAAGGGAACTCTCTTTCTGCCTTTGACTCATCCATAAACAAGTATTTACTGCTCACCTACTACCTGCCGAGTTCTTGTACTAAGAACAGAAATATATCCGTGATCCAGGCGACTCATTTCCTATATTTTGAGAACTCTAATTAGTAGACTAGGGCATTCTAAGGCTAATGTTGTAATTCATTGTTTACAAAGGAGAAATTTAAAAAGTATGAGAACTGGACTAGACCATGTCTAGACTGTGTTTGAAGGAACGGCTGTTTGAGTAAGTGGAGTGTGTTCATTTTAGAAAGAGAGAAAGAACGTTTTAGAGCCCCTGGACACATACAGACTATCTGAAAGGGAGGAAGAGAGAGGGAGGTGGTGGCTGGTCATGGATGTGGTGATCACTACACAAGGGCATGGTGTGATATCTTTAACACAAAAGGAATATATACTGGTAAGAAGCAAACTGTTTGGTCAGATCGTCTTATAAAATCCTATGTGCCACGTATTACAAATAAACTAGAAAAGTGCAATATTTCTAAATAAAATATCAACAGTTATCTATACTAATAAAAGGATAATATGCTAATTAGACTGGACATCTTCCAGACATCCTTCTGGACATTCTTCTGGACAAAGCCATGGTGGCGGGGGCTGAGGCAGAGGCCAGCAGGGGAGAGCAGTTAGGGGTGATCAGGCCGGCAGGGGAGAGCAGACAGGCAGGTGAGCAGTTAGGACCTAGTGGTCCTGGATTGTGAGAGGGATGTCTGACTTCCCGCTGATTGCCTAAACCGGCAGTAGGACATCCCCTGAGGGGGTCCCTGATTGAAGAGGGTGTAGGCTGGGCTGAGGGACTCCCTCCCCCTCCCCTGCATAAATTTCATGCACTGGGCCTCTAGTTAAATTATAATATTGTGTGTAAAGTGATGTTCCATAAATGGCTTATATGGACTTGTGTGTGTGTGTGTGTGTTCATTGGGTAATTGTACTTGTCTGATTGGGTGGAAACAGAGGTGAGAGCTGAGGTGGGAGGGTCACATCTGGATGATCATGAACACCCTTCAGTTCAGAAAGAAGAGTCTGGATTTACCCTCAATTCAGGGAGGATCATGGAAGGATTTTGAGCAGAAAATGGGCAGATTCTGAAATGAGGTTAGATTCCTATGTGGAGGGTGAACTGGAGAAGGGAGCTAAGAGCTCAGGAAGGTGGTGGACATGACGGCTGCCTTGGGGGGTGTGAAGGTGACCTCCCTCCCTGCCTTGTTGAGTTGGGGACACCCAAGGGGCCCTCAGGACAGTGAGCCCAGGGGTGGGGAAGGAGGAGCCCGGGGGCTGTGCCCGATGCATCTGCTCCCACAGGGAAGCTCAGGGCCTCCTCCTGGCCCTGGGACATAGGTCCTACGTCCCACACAGGTTCCATCTGATTTTCTGTCTGTGAGCAGCGGGATCTCTCCATCTCTTTGGCGTCAATCATTTGAGTCATTTCTGCCTCTTCAGAGCACCTTTGAGGCCGGGTTTCACTCTGCTCTTCAAGCTGTGGAGACTTCTCAGGATTCAGAAAAAAATGACATTCATCACACACACACACACACACACACACACACACGAGTTTAAATATCAGTTGTGGCACTATCACATCCTGAATAGTTGAAAGACACTTGAGCAGGCCATTTCCTCCCTTGACCTCATAGCAATACAAATGTGGTGAGAATTCTTCTCAACTGAGATATGGAGGAAACGAAACCAGCCATACAATGCAGATGAAGATGGTGGAGGTTGGGGAAATTGAAAAGCGGAGATGCCTCGTCCAAAGGAGCAGAAGGAAGACTCCAGGTCAGTCAGACCTGCAGACAGATGAGACTCTGAGGATCAGGTGAGACCTCAGATACTGCTGAGCTGCCCCCTGAGAGCCTGGACTCCCCCTGAGCTCTCATCCTGGGGAGATGCAGAGCCACGTCCAGGGCGGGGCCATCTCCTGGCCGTGGGTCTGCAGCTGTGAAAACCCAGAAGGGCAGCAGCAGCCCCTGACTCACCACATCCTGTGTGTCTTGGTCCTTCCGGCCCAGGCCTCCTCCATCCGCAGAGCAGGAGCCCTCAGAGCCATGACGTCCATCCTCTCTGCTCTTCTCTGCCTCGGTCACTTGTGGAGACCGGCAGCAGGAGGGGATGGGCAGGAAATTCCTCCTTGTTCTTGTGGAACCTCAAGCTCAGGCAGCTCGAGTGGACAGGGCCCTGATTGGAAGAAAATCAGCTCAGACGTCCGGGTGGAAAACTCTGACAGGATTCTCTTCCAGGGCTGAGTCTGGGCCAGGAGGACCCGTGTGCAGGCAGGTGAGTCCTCCCCAGCTTCATGTTCCTCCTCTTATGTCATCCCGTGGGGCTCAGGAGGAAGCACAGAGGTGCTGGGATGAGGTGATACAATAAGAGTACTTAGGGCTGTTCTGGGAGATGAGGGAGGGAAGGTCTTTGTAATGCAGCCCCTGGTTTCCTTCCAGAGACCCTCTCCAAACCCACCCTCTGGGCTGAGCCAGCCTCTGTGATCCCGTATGGGAGCCCTGTGACCCTCGTGTGTCAGGGGACCCTGGATGCCCAAAAGTTCTATCTGTATAAGGAAAGAAAACGTCTGCTTTGGAACACGCAGACCCGATGGGAGCCCACGAACAGGGCCAAGTTGTCCATCAAACAGATGAACCAGGACTTTGCGGGGAGATATCACTGTTACTATCACAGCCCCACAGGCTGGTCAGAGCCCAGCGACTTCCTGGAGCTGGTGGTGACAGGTGAGAGGCCCTCAATGGTCCCAACCTCAGGCTCTGCCCTCAGGAAGGGGGTCTGCTCTCAGGGCGTCTCCCTCTCACAGCCCAGCCCTGGGGGACATGAGGGAGGAGTGAGCCTATTTAACACGCTGCCTCCTCTCCTGCTAGGATCCTACAGCAAACCCAGCCTCTCAGCCCTGCCCAGCCCTGTCGTGACCTCAGGAGGGAACGTGACCCTCCAGTGTGGCTCAGGGCAAGGATTTGATGGATTCATTCTGACTAAGGAAGGAGAACACCGGTTTGCCTGGTCCCTGGACTCTCAGCCACACCCCAGTGGGCAGTTCCAGGCCCTGTTTCCTCTGGGCCCCCTGACCTCCATTCAGAGGTGGACGTTCAGATGCTATGGCTGTTACAAGATGGTGCCCCAGGTGTGGTCACACCCCAGTGAGTCCCTGGAGCTCCTGGTCTCAGGTGAGAAATTCTCATCCCTACCACCTCCATGTTTTGAGAGACCAGACAGGTTATTTGTATCTTTGCTCAGAGGGGAGCCCCCTGTGAGAGGGTGGGGTATGGCAAGATTTGGGGCTTCTTGATCAGAGACACTGAGTGTGAGAGACACAGTGACACCTATGGGCCAGAACAGTAGAAGGGAGTTTATGGGAGGAGCAGCCCCTGTAATTCACATCTGGTCTTCCCATATGTCTCTGGGAAGCCCTCCCTCCTGACCCAGCAAGGCCCCATCGTGGCCTCTGGACAGAACCTGACCCTCCAGTGTCGCTCTGATGTCAGCTATGACAGATCCGCTCTGTCCAAGGAGGGGGGACGGGACCTCCCCCAGAGCCTTGTCCTGCAGCCCCAGGCTGGGCTCTCTCAGGCCCACTTCTCTCTGGACACTGTGAGCAGCTCCCACGGGGCCCGGTACAGATGCTACAGTGGATACAAACTCTCTTCCAAGTGGTTGGCCCTCAGTGACCCTCTGGACATCTGAGCAAAGATACCAATAACTTGTATGGTTGTTGAGGGCTGTGGGGGGGGTCTCAGGTGGTGATAGCCATGACAAGGGGTGTGGGCTCTCCAGGGAAGGAGACAGCATGAGCCATGGAATGGGAGCAAGAGGAATAGACTCAGGGAAAACAGAGACAGACAGAGAGGAGGGTCCTCAGAGAGAGGCCTGGTGACTCTCAGGTTAGAACAACGTGGGCAGGCAGCCCTCACTCTCCCTCCCTCTCTCTAGGACACCTGCCTGACAGACCCCCCTTGTCAATGCAACCAGGGATCTTAGGAGAGAACATGGCCCTTCCGTCAGTCATAGAGACTGAGGGACACTTTTCTTCTGTCCAAGGATGGGGCAGCTAATCCCCTGCTTTTAGATCCAAGTTTTGAGCTCACCAGTACCAGGCAGAGTTCTCCATGAGTCCTGTGACCTTAGCCCATGAGGGGATTTACAGGTGCCACAGCTCACACAGCACCTCCCCCTACCTGCTGTCACTCCCCAGTGAGCCCCTGGAGCTTCTGGTCTCAGGTGAGGGATTCTTGATCCACTTCTTTCTTTTCTTTTTTTTTAAAAAAATAATTTTATTGATTTCAGAAAGGAAGGAAGAAGGAGAGAGATAGAAAAATCCATGATGAGAGAGAATCATGGATCGGTTGCCTTTTGCAAGTCCGCCACTGGGGACTGAGCCCACAACCCCGGCATGTGCCCTTGACAGGAATCGAACCTGGGACCTTTCAGCTCGCAGGCCAATGCTCTATCCACTGAACCAAACCAGCTAGGGCTTGACCCACTCCTTTCGATGCTCAGTCAGCTCAGGGCCCTGTAATGAGACCCTGGGGGCTCCACCAAACAATAGGTTCCAGACCCCCTAACTCTAATGCTCATCCACAGAATCCTGCTCCCCAGGTTTTGAATAA